TTGTGTCTGCCCAAGTGCGACGCCCTTGGATGGAGCATACGGTGGAGCTGTGCCGCCCGTACGTTACAGTACACCTCTGCCATGAAGTGTGCTGGTTGAGGGATGATTGTTGCAAGCTGCTCTTGCTCTTTCGGGAAGGACAACTGAGAGAAGACGCCTCTGAAGGCCGAACGATCCCTGCTGGCTAAGTCTGCAAGTCGCGGCCTGTTTCACCTGACAGGATTCTTTGTACAGTTTTCTTTTGGCTTCTTAGTGTTCTTGTAGTTCTTACTGGGACCGAGTGCAGCAACTGCTGTCTGTGAGGCCCGCCCACGCCAAAAAGGCATTCAGCCACATCTGGATTCGCGTTTAGACTTTAGACATGCTGGGCAAGTACAGTAGCAGTTCATCGCGGCAGTAGCGTTGTTTACTTAAGAACTTCCCTCCTGGTATCTGGGTGGTGGCGTGTTCGCCCTCGGTGCTGGAACTCGGCTCCCTCTGCTACGCCCCCGTTACCTTCGTGGCTGTTGCTACCGGATGGATTCCTTATTGCTTGCTGGTATTCCAAGAGGCTGTTGATGGCTGGATCGGATACTCCTACAGCTACTAATGGTTCCAACCCAACTCATTCATCATTCATGGCCCCTCACTCCTTTCCTCTCACTTCGTTGCAGTCAGTGTGGCGGGTTTCCCGTTCCTTGTTCTGCACAGGTGCATGGTACCGCAGTACCGCACTCTGGGACGGCGATCAATGCGACTTACTTCTTCTAACTGACTGATCTGCTGAGCCAATCGTGCGGTGGGGACCGTCTAGCCGCAGTATTGTTTGCCAAATCGGTACGTACAATTGGGGCGAGGTGCATGGCGTTCAGTTGAGGGGGTGTACTGTCATACCTACTCCATGCTTTGTAAACTTTATGGGCAAGTTGGACACCATGTTTTGGGGTCAGGGGTGTGAGGGCGTCCGGGGCAGAGGGGTGGCACTCTACGCCTGCCGCATGCATGTACAGCCCACTGGTGTTGTGATTCCTCCAAGTTTTTTCTTGTTGTAAGACGGGTATCTGATTCAACAATAAAGCCTAACCTAACGGTATTTGGCAGTTGTGACTCGACTTGTCTGCACTAATTAATTTTTTCCCCCGCTTGAACTCTGTGACGGAGGGGGGCTATGACGTTTTCGGAGCTCCCCCGAGATGTTGAGGGGGACGTGGGAGGTAGGCTGCGCCGTATGCGCTAGTCCGCTAGTCGTCACTCACTCACTCACTCACTCACTCAGTACGAACTCTGTCGAGCGCGCACGATATACCTTTATGAAACGTCGGACAGCCTTCCATGGGAAGGCGGTTTCAAAAAAAAAAAAAAGAGAAGACGATGCACTCTTCTTGATTCCACTGGATTGCTTTTCATGGACACCACTATTGATTGCATGATCTTTTATTTTCCATGAATTGCTGAGTGAATTATTCACGATCTCATGCCGTTGCCAGTTTCCTCAATCAGTGTGAATGAGGAAAACAAAATTTTGTTGGGGCCTTTTGAGGTTCAGGACCCTGCATTGAACCAGGGCCCCTCTCTCGACGTTGGGCTTAGCCCACCGTGCACGCCGCTGTCGCCGACAGCGGCAGATGGCAGCAGAGCTGAAAGATGGGCGAAGGTGATGAATCTGCCCCGTTCGACAGTCGGGCAGTGGCCTTTCATGCAGCTCATACTTGGAATGCTTATAAGAGATCGGTAGGCATCTTCCCGAGCCCTCCAGAACAAATGCATTCGCTCTTCAGGAGAAGCTGCCTCTTGCCTAGGCCGACAGGGCTCTTGCCCCCAGCGCCGGGTCCAGGGCCGATGGCCGCTTCATCCAGCTCCGGCCCAGATCTTGGAGCCTCGCAGTCAGCATTCCTTGCAGCGGGACTGAAGCCATTGTCAGCCCGAGATGCTCACCTAAGGTCTAAGGCCCTGGATGCTAATAGGAAGTGTGCCTTGAAGAAGTGGGTTACGCTTGTTTCCTTGGATTTTAACGCCTGGGGTGTAGCCAAGCAAGCCATGGGGCCTTTCGATCCCAAATTTGCCACAGGAGGCTTGGTGGAAAGTGTGCAGGACTGTCTTGCAGACAAAGCCACAGCTACCTTGCACCAACGCGTGGGACCCATCTTCAGATACGTGCACTTCTGGAAGCTTCAGTTCGTAGTGTGCCTGCCTGTGAGAGAGCACCAGCTCTACGATTACTTCAAGGCAAATCCGAATGCGGCCCCGACTTCGTTCAGGTCGCTGCTTATCGCTTTCAGCTTCGCCAAACATCTGCTAGGCTTGATCGTGTTGGACGAAGCCCTGAGCAGCGGGAGGATCGTAGGGCTTGCAAATGCTCATTACTCGACGAGGTGTGCAGTTAAGCGCAGGCCTGCTCTAACCGTGGAGCAAGTCAAGCGACTCGAAGCTCTCGTGCTCAGCCCCATGGCGCGGCCAATGGACCGAATCGCGGCTGGGTGTTTTCTGCTTATGATCTATGGTCGCCTACGGTTTTCAGACATGCAACGTTCTTCAGGTTTCGCGATTGATTCAGCTTTGATTGATGGCGTGGAATCAGGGTACCTTGAAGGGCAAGCCGAGAGGACCAAGACATCGGTGTCGCTTGAAAGGAAGATCCGCTCCCTTCCCATCGCTGTTCCGTTGAAATGTGTAGGAGGTAGGCCGTGGATCAGAGCATGGCTTGAGCTTCGAGAGGCAGAGGGTCTCGATAGTTCTTATCCTACACTTCCGTGCCCCGCAACCGGAGGCGGGTGGACAAGACTTCCGCTTAAGGTCTCAAGTGGAGGCGCCTGGCTGAGAAGCTTGATTCCTGGCGCGAGTGCAGCACCTGGCGACGTCCAGATCGCGACCCACTCTTGTAAGAGTACACCGCTCTCCTGGATGGCGAAAAGAGGCGTGCCGGCCGGCCCTCGTCGCACTCTGGGTTACCACGTGCCGCGTAAGGACAAGTCGTTAATCATTTATGCCAGGGATTCACTAGCGGCTCCATTGCGCGAGCTGGACCAGGTAATCGACGAGATTGCCGCCGGTAGATTCAAGCCGGATCTCACTCGAAGTGGGATGATAGCCAATCTTGCAGATCCACAGCTTCCACCTGAGAATGAGGAGGAGGCTGACGCCATATCATCGAGCTCTAGCGAGGCGTCCGATGATGAGGAAGAGGCCCCCGTGAGTGACGAGGAGCAGGCCTTGGAGCAGATCGCCGGTCAGTGGGGCCCCGAGCCCGGCGACGGGCCTTGGGCTCGTCACAAACAGACTAGGTTCTTGCACAAGGTGAGAGATGAGGCCGGGACCCACTTGAAGTGCGGTAGAGCGATCTCAGTGCGTTTTGAGATTTTAAGCGAGGCGCCAAGATTTATGTATCCTACATGCGCCACCTGCTTTCCAAACTCCTGAGGTTCAAAAGCCGTGTCAGGAGTCAACGCCACGCGTGGGCGAAAATCGCGGGGTCTGAGAAAAGGCAACATGCAAATGTCACCTTGGTCGTGGATGAATAACCAGCGCGATCTCGTAGTGACTGCTTGTGTCTTGGAAGTGCAGAACTACAAGTGCTGTTTGAGCGATGCTTGTCACGTGAATTGTGTGATGCGCTAGGGAGCTACCGATGACAAAAGTGATTGCAAAGCGTGCTGGGCCCTAGTCTGAGCTTGACAGTCTAGAAAGAAAGAGCCATGTCGTTTGGAGAGAGTGCGGCTGTCTTCAAGGCGAGAGCCAAGGACATTGGAGTTTCTGATGAGAGCTTCGCGAAGCTTGAGGCGGAGGGACTGACAACGATGGCAACTTTCGCCTTCTGTTGTCATTTCAACCCATCGGCGACAGACGAGAAACCTCTCACCGACCTGGTGACCAAGGTTCTCGGTGCTGCGCCTTCCCTTAAGGAGATGAGTTGCTTTCGGCGTCTGTTCGCCGAGGCATACGCAACTGTTGCATCCGACATCCGATCGCAGGTGGAAGCAACAGAAGACTCATCGATCAAGAAACTAGCTCCAGCAGACAGGGCCGAACGTTTGCGGGAGCAGCAGTCCAGACTTAAAGGTCTTGACTTGAGGGGCAATATGGAGCCAGGCGACTCCTTGATTGATCGGGCTGTGGCGATCTACGAATCTGACAGACTCCAGTATGTGGAGTGGCAGCATTCTGTTAGCAGACAGCATGAGCTTCTTACAGGGCTCAAGAAGGATGCTTCGCTTACCTTGGATTCTGCAGGCGGCCTAAAGATTGCCAGCAAGCCCAACGTGACTCCTTGTGATGTGTCCACTGATATGATGGTTCGCTACGCCTTAGTGCGAAGGGGCCTAGCCTTTGAACAGGCGAACATCTTGGCGTACCATTTGCACGATGAGTTGCTTGAAAAGTACATGTCTTTCAGGCTTATGGACCCTCCTCCGAATCATGCGCGGGTGAGCTTGAAACAGATTGAGCAAGCTGATCGTCAATTCACCATGTTGCTCGCGGAACACACCCGCGGCGGCATCAAGGTGAAGGCAGGAGGATCACGGCCATGTGACGGCGCTTTCCGCAAAGTGTTTGAGAGCACTGAGTTTCTTTCAATGCTGACTCCGAGGCCTCTTGCAGTAGGCTCAGGAGCAAGCCGCGACGCTTCCTCAGGAGATGAGCCCCCGATCAAGCGCCATAAGGGCAATGGCAAGGGCCAGGGCCGCGGGCGCGGGGGTAAGGGCGCCGGCAAGGGCTCAACCAATACCAGAGTCCCGGCAGAGCTCCTCGCACTCGGGTGCGTGGCCGCTACGCCTAAGGGGCATGCCTTATGCTTCGATCATTCGCTAGGGAAATGCTCCCGAGCAGTGGCCAACCAAAGGTGTGAAAGAGGACTGCACTTGTGTGCAGTCAAAGGATGCCATAGAGGGCACCCAGCCAAGGATTGCCCCGCGAAGAAAGCGCCCTCGTCGTGACTAATGAGTCAGACGAGCGCGCATGACCCACCATCGCCAGTGGCGCACGGTGGGCTAGATGTCACACAGAGCTATGGCTCAACTGTCGGTATGGAACCAGCAGCTGAACAGTCGCTCAACGACTCTACTTGTTTTCCCCCGGAGCCGCCCCGTAAGGCGGCTAAATTAGATGATGCATTTGCGTTTTGCGAGTCTTTGGCAAGTCACTTTTTACAATCTTCAGACTTCAGTGCAAACAACATAGCGGCCATCTTGGACGCTTTTCCTTCCGAGGACCATACTCGGACCTGGCTGGAATCCGATGGCGACTCTAAGGCCATCACTGTCGGTGCATGCAACCGAGGAGGAGTCACCGCTATTCGCCGCAACACGCGACGCATGCCAGCAGTGGCAAAGTATTTGGCCGCGTGTCTCAGACTCGTCGCACCCCAATGCGAGTTCACGTCTGTGTCTGTGCATCGGAACTTGCAAGCTCCAATGCATCAAGATTCCTTCAATAGCAGCGTGCCTAATGTAGTTGTGCCATTGTCCTTCTTCTCAGGCGGACACATCTTCGTCGTGCATCCTGAGGGTCCAGATCAAACCTTCTACGAAGATGCATCATGGACAGGCTTCAAACTTGATTGCGCTACTCATGCTTGGGCTTTTGATGCTAAGCATTGCAAACACTTCACCTTGCCGTGGCAGGGCTCCAGATCTCTTCTGGTTGCGTTTACCGTGGGCCATCTCTCCGGTTTAGCTTCTGATGATAGGGAATTCTTGACCTCCCTAGGGTTTAAGATCCCCAGCCGTGATGTCCAGCAGGGCCCCACCATGAAGCCGTACCCTTTGCAAGGCTACGATTTGCGGTGTCCTCAGGTATCCACTGATTCGGCGCCGTTGACTCAACCGAGTCCGGCCTTCCCCTCCGCTGAATTGCCTGCGGACGGGCCTCTAGTGATCGAGCTGTGCGCCGGGTCTGCCATCCTCAGTCAGACAGCCGCCAGCCGCGGCTTTGCAATCATGCCAGTGGATCATGCTCACAACCGCCACACACCTAAGTGCAAGATGGTCAATCTGGACTTGACCCAGAGCCATTCCTGGGAGGTCCTCAAGTTTGTCATCAAATCCCGTCGTGTTGCCATGGTGTTTGCGGCTCCGCCTTGCGGCACTTGCAGTGCTGCTCGTCACTTTCGCCCGGGCCCCCCAGTGCTCCGCACCACTTCACATCCGTGGGGTGTCCCGTGGGCCTCCACCAGAGATTGGGTCAAGCTCAAAGCTGCCAATGCCATATACAAGCAACTATGCGCTTTTCTTGAATTGTGCGATCAGCACTCTGTGCCTTGGTGCGTCGAAAATCCCACTAACAGCACCCTCTGGGAGTTGCCATGTCTTGCGTACCCTTTGGCCCATGGTTTCTTCGCGCATTGCCAGGCTTGCGCTTTCGGCAGCGAACGAGATAAGAAAACATCTTTCTTGTGCAGCAGCTCGGGCATCTCTCGCATGGCTCTGATGTGCCCAGGCTGTAAACAACATGCAACGTGGGGCCTTACTTCTGATGACACCTTCGCCACAGCGGAGGAAGCAGCCTATCCTCCGGCCATGTGCCAGGCCTTGTGTGATGTCTTTGAGTCGGAGGCTGCCAGGCTCAACTACGTGTTGGGCTCGGCTCAGCCACTTTTGGCCCGAGCCCATAAGCAACCGCGAGGACGCCTACACCCACAGCTCTTGTCAGAGCACGCTGCAGTTCTATCCCGCCTCCTGCCCCGGGCCCCGCCTCTTAATCACAAGCGATGTCTTACGCAGGATGTGCACGGTGTCCCCGCAGGGAGCAAGCTCTTGCGTTCCGAAAATAGGGGGAATAAGGGTCTCTTCTGTGTTTTCGGGGTCTTTAGGAGCCCAGAGTCTTTCGTCAGAGAGGCCAAGCTGCTATATCATCCTTTTGACTCTCTTGCGCAGTTGCCGGACTACTTGATCAAATCCCTGTTTGAGCAGCTGACAAAATCCCCTGCAGAGATCTGCAAGTTGAGACTTCTTCGTCTGCAAAAGTGGAGGGCCAGAGCGACTGAGCTGGCGCCAGTCGAGCACGCTCACCGTGCCAAGATGCAACCGTCCGTGAAGGAGATCCTCGCCAACAAGCGGACGGCGCTACTGGAGGAGATGGCGGCCGAAATAGACTGGCCCGACAAGGGTCTCTTCTCTGAGATGCGCCAAGGCTTTCGCTTGGTTGGGTGCCTGAGCCCTTCTGGTGTGTTCAGGGAAGGACCGTACCTCGCCTCCATCAGCGAATCCGAGTTGATGGAAAATGCAGACAGCATCAGAGCTTCTCTCCTGGCACGTGTGTCATCCGATCCTCTTGACGAGAACGCCGAGGAGCTGTACGATGTAACTCTTCAGGAGGCTACCCAGAAAAAGTGGTTGGACGGGCCGTTGACCCCAGGAGACATTGGAAAGAGATTCGAGGCGTGGATCCCGGTGCGCCGCTTCTGTGTTGTGCAAAAAGGACGCTTGAGACCGATTGACGACTTCAAGGAGAATCTTGTAAACCAAGCCTGCTCTACGAGCGAGCGAATCGTGCTTCAGGCGATGGACCATCTTTTATGGTCTCTTTCCGTGTTGTGCCACTTCTACCGGAAGCGAGGAGCAGTCGACTTTACCTTATCCTCCGGAGAGAGACTGACAGGTCTCGTCCATCCTGATTGGCAGAAGCCGGGGGCGAGCATGCAAGTCGCCACCTTGGACTTGAAATCAGCATACAAACAACTACCGTTGAACCCTTGCGACTTCGACAAAAGTGTGGTGACCTTGAAGGATCCCGAGACAGGATCCATCTCGTGCTTTGTCATGCGCACGCTTCCATTCGGAGCGTTGGCCTCGGTGTACCACTTTCTGCGGGTCAGTTTGCTGTTGCATGCCCTAGGGTGCCACTTGGGAGCGTGCTGGTCAGCATACTTCGACGACTTCCCTATGGCGACTCACTCGCTGGTGGCCACGTCAACTTCGGCTTTAGTTAAGGGTTTCCTTAAGCTAGCGGGGTTTGACTTTGCAGAGGAGAAATGCACCCCCTTCTCTTCGGATGTCGAAGTCTTGGGAGTTACTCTGGATGTGTCCCAGAGCTCGGAGGGCCTAATCAACATCAGGAACAAGCCGTCGCGGTGTGAGGAGCTTAATGCAGTGATCGAGGAAGTGCTCAGGGACAAGGCCTTAGTCCCTTGCCGACTGCCGTCCTTCATTGGCAAGCTCCAGTTCGCCGACGGCCAAATATGGGGCCGAGCAGGGCGCATGGCCATGCACGACCTTATTTAGGGTTTACTTCCAGGATTCCGGTCTCCCTTGATGCCAGCGGGATCGAAGCGCTTAAGATTCTTCAGCAAAGATTGACGCATGGAAAGCCTCGTGTCATCCGTGCTGGGTGGAAAGAAAAGCCGATTCTGCTGTTCACAGACGGAGCACTGGAGGATGATAACCTTGATCACGGACCGGCTACTGTGGGGGCGGTCATGTTTAAACCGAATGAGCCCAACGCTTACGCTTTCGGATGCGAGGTGCCGGCAAACGTACTGTCTCATTGGAGATCCGATGGCAAGAAACATGTCATAGGTCTTGTGGAGCTTTACGGCGCCATTCTGGCTCTTCGGCATTGGCGCAAACACTTGGACGGCAGCCGAGTGATATTGTTTGTCGACAATTGGCCAGCACTTGATACTCTTGTCAAAGGAGATGCATCCGTCGCGATTTGGCGGGAAATTCTTATGATCCTTGAAAACCCGCAGGAAGCTTCACCGTGCTATTTATGGATAGCACGTGTGCCATCCGCGTCCAACATTGCAGACGCCCCGAGCCGTGGATCGCTTTCCGAGCTTAGCCACTGGTCTGTACGCGTGGAGGTGCCCAGGTGTCCGCTGTCGAAAGTTGCTCTGAAGTCGATTGTGTCTCAAGGCTAAAGCAGACTGGGGGATTTATGCTTCGAGGTGCACGGTTAAACCGGGCACGTCACGATGAGCTGTGGCTCATATCTTATGCCGGGCCGAGGGGCCCGGCAACAGGATTCATCCCCAGTTTGCCGATGAGCGTAAAACAATCGAGTGAGCAGCATGTCAGCAGTCGCCATTTTGATATATTTCGCAAATATGTTTGCTAGCCCAAATATCATTTCGGGCAATACTGAATGATTACCCTTGCAATTGTTTATATGACATAGTTCCTCAAAGGGGAATTGTACATGTCCCCACAATCGTGGTATTCTTATCTAGATGCTGATAACCTTTTTGAAACTCCGACGAACTTCATAAGAACTCTGTCGAGCGCGCACGATATACCTTTATGAAACGTCGGACAGCCTTCCATGGGAAGGCGGTTTCAAAAAAAAAAAAAAAGAGAAGACGATGCACTCTTCTTGATTCCACTGGATTGCTTTTCATGGACACCACTATTGATTGCATGATCTTTTATTTTCCATGAATTGCTGAGTGAATTATTCATGATCTCATGCCGTTGCCAGTTTCCTCAATCAGTGTGAATGAGGAAAACAAAATTTTGTCCCGCCCGCCCAACCCTGGGGGGGATTTATGCTTCGAGGTGCACGGTTAAACCGGGCACGTCACGATGAGCTGTGGCTCATATCTTATGCCGGGCCGAGGGGCCCGGCAACAGGATTCATCCCCAGTTTGCCGATGAGCGTAAAACAATCGAGTGAGCAGCATGTCAGCAGTCGCCATTTTGATATATTTCGCAAATATGTTTGCTAGCCCAAATATCATTTCGGGCAATAATGAATGATTACCCTTGCAATTGTTTATATGACATAGTTCCTCAAAGGGGAATTGTACATGTCCCCACAATCGTGGTATTCTTATCTAGATGCTGATAACCTTTTTGAAACTCCGACGAACTTCATAAATTGATTGCTTGCTTTGCTCTTACCCAGCTGGCTCTAGCCATGGCTGCAAGAGAATGACACGGCTTCTCGCACTTTGCGGTCTGCCTTCCAGCCCAAAAGCGACACGCCTTCAGAAGCGGGCATCAACAAGCTGGTCGCCACTAGCTGGCCTCTTTCGCAGTTTCTGCAGCTCATAGCCTCCTGGTCCTCCAGCCACGGAGTGGAGGTCTCGCACGTTGCCGGAGCCCACAACCAATGGACCGATAATATTAGCCGAGGCCCCATCTCGGCCTTTCACAGCACAGAAAACAGGAGAGAGTGCGCATCTCGCTCTCCCGCCTTGCCAACGCAGCCTCCGAAGCCCAGTCCACCTTGCCTAGAGCCATTTCTTTCGCTTGCTCAGGTCCACATCCACCGCCCGCGGTGGGAAAGGACACGCGGCTGCGGCTAAACACCGGTTGGATCTGTCTCTTAGGTTCTTTCAGTCTAAGGTTGTCCATTAGGACTTAGATACCTTGGGGCTGCTGCACAGCCTACAGATCCAACACGGTGAAAAGAGAGAGCGAGGTGCTAGAGCAGTGCAGAAAACGTTACCTGTTTTGTTTCAAGAAGGTTTTCGTAGCTTGTGAAAATCCACATGCTTGTCATGCATACATGCCTGGCTCTAGCGCATCAGTTCTCGAAAAGTTCCGTCCACCTACGCCTCAGTGCTGTCGTCTCGGCAGGTTTAATCGCGCCTAAGGAACTCAAGAACGCGGTACCAGGGTCTTAGAATTTCGATTTGCAAAACCAAGCCGACTCCGCCTTGTCTTGCCTGGTTGCACAAGCCAACCTAGTCGGTGTCTGCCTCAGATTCGTGCTCGACTTGTCAGGAGCCCATTCTTTTGGAAGATTTCCGATTGCCTCTCAGCGAACATCCAGGTACTCGCCTTCCTCGACTACGAGCAGTTTCGCTCTTACCCGTTGGCTTGCTGTCTCTAACCCTCCTGCGCCATGTGCTGCCGACTTCCTCGCTCTCAGACTTCGCCTGAGCTGAATGATTTCGCACTTTGTTTCACTGGCAAAATGTCTCACAGCCTTTTGCCCGCCTCGAGCCGACGGCACAGCCTTAGCCGACCCGCCTGCAGCGCGGCCCGGCTCTCCGCCAACCGTTTGGAGGACCGGCCTCATTGCTTTTAGCCGTACTCTCTCTATCGCCGTTCTAGAAGCGAATTCGTGAGGACAGCATTATCCTCGAACTACTCACGCTTTCACCAAGTCTAGCCTGGGGGGTTCTTTCAGCCAGCCTTAGCCTGTCCTTCAGGATTTAGGCCTCTTCGGGCTAGCTGCGCAGCCTGCAGATCCAACACGGTGAAAAAGAGAGAGCGATGTGCTAGAGCAGTGCAAGTTTACTTAAAACTTCATGTAATGTAGCAAGCAATCCGCAATTTGGTCACCATGACCAAGGGGTCGGCACATCTCCGCGCTGTTTTCTTCTTGATTCTCTCCTGCTCCTCCGTCCGACGAATGTCGTCGAGTCGAGAGGTCTTTTATGCCGGTGTCGCTAATATACCCGGGGACGAGCCTTCAACCCGTCACGCCGTAAAGCTCGAGCCACACACTGAGAGAGAGAGAAAGAGCTTCTGACAATGTGGATGCTTGATTTTGGCATTGTGGGCCCGTCCTGCCGCCCCGGGCTCTTGCAATGCTGCTTGCTCTGCCAAGGCTTGTTTTCGTTTCATGGGCCCTGGACACTTTGTCATAGTCATAGGATGTAGGGTTTCAGAGTTTAGGGTTTTAAGATGCACCCACGCTGGCGAGGGGAGGACTCCTATTTTGGTTTAAACTTTGGGGTTCAGGTTTGGTTTAACTTTGAGGATCGCTTCCGCTTGTTTTAGCACTTTCTCGTATCGCCGCCCCTCCACATCCACTTCACAGCATATGAACACACACGGAACACAAAGTGACATGAACAAACACACACGCAGATATGTATGTATGTATATATATATACATATACACATACATACATTAATTAGTATATATAGACGATATATAGATATATAGATATATGGATATATAGATATATAGATATATAGATATATAGATATATAGATATATAGATATATAGATATATAGATATATAGATATATAGATATATAGATATATAGATATAGATATATAGATATATAGATATATATATATATAGATATAGATATATAGATATATAGATATATGATATAGATATATAGATTATATATAGATATATATATAGATATATAGATATATAGATATAGATATATAGATATATATATAGATAGATATATATATATATATAGGTATATAGAGATATAGATATATAGATATATAGATATATAGATATATAGATATATAGATATATAGATATATAGATATATAGATATATAGATATATAGATATATAGATATATAGATATATAGATATAGATATATATATATATATACATGTATGTATGGCTGTTTAAAGCAAGTTTTGTCGTGCTTGCGGCTCAATATTTACTCCCCAACTCTACTCCGCATGATTACTCTCCACACGCGAGTAAATTTACTCCACAAATTTCCTCGCACGTGAATAAATTTACTTCCCAAAATTTACTCGCATGCGAGTAAATTTTGGGTACACCACAGAATGTGAATAAATTCTTCCGCGCGAATGAATCCTAATTTTATTCGCATCGGATCTTTCAGGTAGCGGCGTCGCAGTCGAGCAGAAGCGGGCCCACTGCCGGCGGAACCAGAAACGCCTCACAATGTCATTCCTGCCCTCGACGCTACGACCCAGGTTCCGCGCGCTGCGATCGGCAGGCAGGCTTGCAAGACCTCGACACCATCGACATGCAGGCCGAGCTGCGACAGCCAGTGCCCACGCTGCAGGATGTCCCTCCTTTCCTCTCCTCCGGGCAGGTGTGCGCCGAGCACTCGTGTTCGCACTGAAGGCGATACGTGATGCTGACCTTGGCGAAGGAGTGGGCACCGGCATCACGCCTACTCGCGCATGGAATCTTTTCATGTTGGGCACCGGATGCATCGGACAGGCCAGGTCGGGCTTCTCGCAGCGTTTGCACGAGCACCGACGTCGAAAGGCTGGCAGAGTGCCCGGGCTCGAAGGCGAGGAGTTCTGGTGGGATGGGCACACGGGGCCTGTCCGGGCAGGCGCCAGCACGCTGCCAGCAAGCAAGTGATGCATGCGGCTGACCTCGCCTTTTGCGCACGAGGCGGCTCGCAGACCCCCGCCGTTTGCGCATCCCGTCGCTGCCCTCCGTCGCTTGCGAACCGTCTGGGCGGCGAGGAAGGGAGCCACGCAAGGAAGCGAGCAGAGCAGGCCAGTCGCCACGTTCGTAGCGGTCGACTCGTTCGTGCAGCAAGCGACGGCCAACCGCCCCATCCGCCCCGGCGTCGGCCAGAGGGCCAGAGAACTTCAAGCTGCAGTTCAAGCTGCTGTTAGCGGATGCTGATGGCCTCGAGGTGCTGGCACACGCAGCGTCGGTGCGGGCCAATCCGCGGGCCCCGCCCACTGTCTCAGCTGCCCTTGCGTCCGCGGCATTGCTACAGGTGACGTCTTTCGCCGCCTGGTCTCGTGGGCCTTGGTGAAGACTTGGGCGTCTGTACCTTCGACAAGGCCATGCGCCCGTCCCTGTCAGTACGCCCCGCGGTCCGGTATGGACGTTTTGGTGGTGCGATCCCGCGTCGCGCTCGAAACTGACCTAGACGTGACCGTGGTTTCGCTGGACGGCCGCAGTGCGTACGACACAGTCTCCAGGACCGCCTTCCTCAGCAAACTCTGCCAGGTCGCCCCTGCACTATTGCCGTTTGTGCGACTGTGTTACGGGCAGCCATCGGTGTAGTGCTGGTGGGGTGATTCCGGTACATGCCGTGACATCTGCCAGGCAGAACGCTGCGAACAAGGAGATGCACTTGCCCCGGCCTAGTTTGTCCGTGGGCAGCATGATGGCCTTGTGCGATCTGGTGCGTGCTGCGGCTGAACTGAGGCCAAGTGAGGAACTGCTCGCTATACTTGGACGACCTGTATGTCATCACCAGCACCGCG